AATCAAGATGAATCACGTTTCCTCACTGATTGAAGAAAGGGGCTCACCGTGTAGTTCAGGCTGGTTTTGAACTGTGATCCTCCTGCTGCCCCAGCCCCCCAGAGCTCCGACTGCCGGCCCGGAGGCCTGTACCGTGGAATGAGGCTTCAAAACCCCTTTCTGGAGAGAGCCTGATGCTACCAACAGACCCACAGACGAGGGAGGGGACTGTGAGCCCAGCCTCAGGATACACAGGCCACCTAGGAACTTCCGCTTCTGCCCTCTGGCGGGAACTCTTGGGGTTCAAGGGCAGGGCAGGAAATCACCGCAGGGCCGGATGGGAGCAGAGGAATACAGGGGAAACAGGGAAACCTTCCCGGGTGGGCGCGGCTATGGGGGCGGGCATCTGAGGGCTGTATCCAGCCCCCACTTGAAAATCTTTTCTGTATACAGAGGGGGAGCCAAAGTTCCTCAGCCTCGCTCAGTTTTTGCTGCCCCAGGACCTTTGCATAGCTGTTCCCTCAGCCTGGGATAGGTGTCCTGCACAGCCACCAGCCTGTCCTCGCCTCCTTCAGACATCTACTCCTCCGCCGCCTCCTCAGTGGGGCCTACCAACCCTCACTGCCCTGAGTAGTCCCTTTTTAAAATATATATATATATTTTTTGGCAGCACTGAGGATTGAGCCCAGGGCCTACACACTGAGCTACATCCCTAGCTCTTTTTTGTTTTTAGGTTTCTGTTTTGAGGTAGGATCTCTATAAATTGACCAAGTCGAGCTCAAACTTGGGATCCTTCTGCCTCGGCCTCCCAGAGTGCAGGAGGACAGGTGTGAGCCACGCCTGGCCTGTTTTTTATTTTTCTCCAAGCGTGGCTTGGGTTGGAGTCACTGTGAGGGGACCCCAGAGGCGCAGGGATGGCCGCAGTGGTTCTGCACTGTTGCACATGGGGGTGGGGAGTTCAGGTTTAAGTGCTGGGACCAGACAGGTGTGGGGGCACACGCCGAGGCAGGAGGATCGCTGTGAGTTCGAGGCCAGCCTGGTCCACATAGTGAGACCTTGTCTCAAAACAAAGCAAAATAAAAATAAAATAAACGTTGTGGGGGTGCCGGGCGTGGTGGCGCACGCCTGTAGTCTCAGCACTTGGGAGGCTGAGGCAGGAGGATTGTTGCAAGTTCGAGAGCAGCCTGGGCTATTAAGTGAGCTCCAGACCAGCTTGAACTGCATAGCAAGACCCTGTCTCAAAAAGACAAAAAAAAAAAAAAAAATGCTGTGGGAGGATGAGCCTGTGGGAGGTGATGGCAGAAACAAACACACGCTACGTGGGATCCGTGGTGAGTCCAGGGGCTGTGTGTGAGCGTGCAGGTTTCTACCCGCTGTCCTGCAGCCGCCCAGAATTGAAGGCTTTTCTTCCTGGGCCGGCTGTTGGCCTTGGCTGTCCTCCCGCCCCCGCTGTGGGCTTTCAGCGGGGAGCAGCTGTTTGTTTATGGCTCTCTTGTCTCACATGGCTTCCGCTAGGCAGTGGCTGTTGCAGCTAAAATGCATTGGCCAGGCACTGGGCGTACACCTGTCATCCCAGGTCCTCAGGAGGCTGAGGCAGGAGGATTCCAAGGCTGAACCTAGACTGGGCATCCTAGGGAGCTCTTGTTTCAAAAAAAAAAAAAAAAAAAATACGGCCAGGTGTGGTCGTGTACACCTGTCATCCCAGTACTCAGGAGGCCAAGGCAGGAGGAGCCGGAATCCAAGGCCAGCCAGGGCAATTTATTGAGAGAGAGAGGCTATCTCAAAATAAAACATAAAAGGGGCTGGGGATGGAGCTCAGTGCGAAGGCCCGGGAGTCTGGCGGTGCCTGAGACCCCAGCCCTGTTCCCTGTGGACTGGGAGGAGGACTCTGAGTGCCGGGGGAGCAGACGTGGAGCTGCAGGGAGGCAGTGACAGCTTCGGCACCCAGTCCCAGCGCCCTGACCTCCCCAGAGCCCCGCTGCGCACATGCGCAGGGACAAGAGCCGGGTCGCAGGCAGGGCGGGGGTGGGGCATGGGGACCCTGTGCGCTGGGGGCGGTGCCCGCGGCGAGGACGTGGTGCAGGGACGGGGCGGGGATGCCGCGCGCCGACCCCAGGAGCAGGGAGAGGTTTCTGGAAGGAGCTGCGCTGCTGGGCTTGGCTCTGGCCACCTGGTGGGAAGATGCACGCGCCGGGTTCTGGGTCTGCGGTGACAGATGGCCACAACTGGACAGCTGAAGGCCATCGCTGGGTGCAGGTGGGCCTCCGGGAGGGGCCACCAGCCACCTCCTCCTCCTTTTTTTCTTGTTGCACTGGGAACGTATCGCAGCGCCTTCGCTCTGAGCTCTGTCCCTAGCCCTTTATATTTTTTATTTTGAGACAGGGTCTTGCTAAGTTACTAAGTTGCCCAGGCTGCTTTCAAACTAGAGATCTTCCTGCCTCAGCCTCCCAGAGTGCTGGGGTGACAGGCGTGGGCCACAGTACGACTCTGTCCTTTTCTTGGGGTGCTGAGAATAAACTGAGGGCCTCCTGCATGCTGGGCAAGGGTGTCACCCTCAGGGGCACTGCCAGCTGGATATTTTCTTGTGTACTGAATTCCTGCCCACCTGGCCTGCACGTGGAAGAGTGGCTGCTGATGTCTCTTCTCACGTGCGTTTGTTTTTGGTGCTGGCTTTCCTGGGCAGTCTTAGGTCAGGGTCTGAGGTGGCTTTGCCTCCCAGGGGAGCCTGCATTTCCCCTGGACCCTTGACCCCACCAGAGCTGGGCAGAGTGGCTTTGAGCTTGTCACAGTGACCTACCGGAGACTGAGCGTTCTGTTTTCTGTCTCTGACTTTCGGTGACAGGGCTGGGATCTTTTTAGGGTCACCAGCATAGATGCTGGATCCCACTTTACACTTTGCTGTTGGATGTGGTGGCTCATGCCTGTCATCAGGAGGCTGAGGCAGGAGGATCACTGTGAGTTAGAGACCAGTCTCCATAGTGAGCTCAGGGCCAGCCTGAACTACAGAGTGAGACTCTGTCTCAAAAAACCAAACCACACTGGGCGTGGTGGCACATGCCTGCATGCTTGTAATCCCAGCACTGGGGAGGCTGAGGCAGGAGGATTGTTGCAAGTTCAAAACCAGCCTGGACTACAAAGTGAGCTCAAGGCCAGTTTGAACTGCATAGTGAGACCCTGTCTCAAAAAGACAAACAAACACCCAGAAAAACCAAAACCAAACCAAACCAAAACAGAGATTATGGGTTGCACTATCATGCCTGGCTGAAGAACACATTTTTGTTGTTTGTTTTTGTCTTTTTTGAGACAGGGTCTCGCTATGCAGTTCAGGCATGTCTTGCGCTCATTTTGTAGCCCAGGCTGGTCTTGAACTTGCAAGGATCCTCCTGTCTCAGCCTCCCGAGTGCTGGGATTACAGGCGTGCGTCACCACGCCCGGCTGAAGAACGTATTTTGCAAGGACTTGTGGGACTGGGATCCCAGCCACTCATGGTTATAAGTTAAAATGTTATGGGAGTTTTGTTGTCCTTTTGTTCATTTATTTATGTAATTTTAATTTTTAAATTTTTTTTCGAGACGGTCTCACCACGTAGTTCAGACCAGCCTTGAACTCACTATGTAGCCTAGTCTGGCCCTGAACTCCGTAGCGATCCTCCTGCCTCAAGCCTCCCAAGGGCTGGGATGACAGGTGTGCACCACGCGCCCGGATATTTATTTTATTTTTGTGGTGCGCAGGATGGAACCCAGGACCTCGCCCACGCTCAGGCAAGCGCTCAGCCGCACCTCCGGCCTCACATTGGACAATTACCAATTCCACTCCTGTCCTTTTTTTTTTTGTGCCGGCAATCGAATTGCCAGGCAGGCGCTTGTGCCGCTGAGCTACATCCCCGGCCCCACTCCCGCATTCTAAACGAAAGGCTTGGCCTCCCGCAGCAGGGCTGGGACGGTCCTCTTAGGGCCCACCCCGCCCCTCCCACTGCAAGGCCGGAAGGTGCAGACTGGTCTTCAAAGCACTCCATCAGGTGAACGTGCGGTCTCCGGCTCCCTCTGTTGGTGAAGCTATGTATTGCAGCACCGCCGACTAATTCCCAGAAGATGAGGTCATCCATTTTAAATTCGCTGGTCAAGGATTTTTAGCTTGCTTGCTTGTTTTGAAACAGGGTCTTCCGTAGTTGCCCTGGGTGGCCTTGAACTCCTGATCTTCCTGCCTCAGCCTCCCTCAGTGCTGGGATGACAGGCATGTGATAGACACAAGGCGCGGCCATTACATATGCACTTTCTAATCTGGTTAATTTTTCGTTCCTTCCTCCTATAATCTTTTTTTTTTTTTTTTCTTTTTGAGACCGAGTCTCGCTATGCAGTTCAGACTGGGCTTGAGCTCACTTTGTAGCCCAGGCTGGTCTCAAACTGGCAACGATCCTCCTGTCTCAGCCTCCCGAGTACAGGGGATTACAGGCGTGCGCCACCACGCCCGGCTTCCCCTATAATCTAAAAGCAACGAGGGATAAGTTCTTTGGGTTTCGTTTGCAGCCGTATCCCCCACTGCGCAGCAGTCTGCGCCGTAGATACTTTATGGGTACTTATTATGGGACATACGCACTTTTGCTTAAAGGCGCTGAGCGTTTAGAGGAGGTTCTCCAAGGTTGTCACCAGACTGTTTGTCTCTATGGAAGGGGGACAGGGTTGAAGGGCGAAGACTTCCACTTCCTCAGTGTTTGCTGGTTTTTCCAACAAACAATGAAAACATTCCCAGACGTGAAAAATGTAAGATAGTTCGCCATCTTGTGGCCAACGTGGGAACCACCACGCGTCTGACGCCACGCTTGGAGCGATGGATAAAACAGGACTGTGATAATAGGCGTGCGCCGCCACGCCAGGCAGAGTTCGTTTCCGGAAGAAATAACAGACATTCAAACAAAGAAGAAAAATTGCCACAGTGGGCACATGGTGTCTTTGATAGAGTGTGTCAGCACGGGGAAGGCGTTGGAGGAAATGAGCACGTTTTGTACATTTTAGCGTTTATTGTGGATGGGGCAGTGCGGACGCTGAGGGGCTGTGATTGCACGGGAGACCACGGCCCCAACCTCCTCGAGGGACATTTTTCTGCCCATAGCCACGCCCTTGACGAAATTCATTTTGAAAACCACGCCCTAAATGAAATTTCATCTTCGGAACGCCCTTAAGGGGCGGGGCCTGCCACAGAATCCAATCGCGTCACAGATGGGGACTAGCGTTTCTCTGATTCGCGGTTGGAGGACGCGGCCGTTCCCGCCCACCCTGCTGTCTTCACCAATCCGAAACCTCAAACTCAACCCCCCCCCCCCCTTCCACTTCCGGCAAATTCACTCGCCCGAAATGGAAGCGCTGTGCTTGGTTTTGGCCGCCGTCCCTCGCCGTCCTCACGTTCTGAGGTCGGTCGCTCTTGTCCACCCTGTCTGACTGCGCGTTTCCTTGGCACCTGGCGATCGACAAGGGTGGGGAGCGCCTGGGGGCGAGTGGGTCAAAGGGCGAAGCGGGGTTCAAAGGGCAAGGGGCGGGCTCGTTTTAGTAGCGGGGTTCCGGGCTGCGGCTCGGCCGTTTTGTCTCCGTCGATCGGCCCCGCCGCGCCCTGTCCGGGTTCCGGGGGAGCGGGGTGTGGGTGGAATTGGAAGCCGCGGCTGTGCACTGGCTCCGAGCAGGTCCGATTCGCGGAGAACCGGGCCATCTCGGGTCCGGACTGCGGGGCGGACCGGCCCCGGGTTCCTCGTGAGCCACGTGGAGAGAGAGCCAGGCGCGCGCGTCCGGAAGCCCCTCCCCTGGGCCCTGCGCCGGGGCTGGAGACGGGTCCGGAGTGTGAGCGAGCGAATCGAATCCTGGGACGTCCCTTCTTCCTGCTAGCAGTTTTCAGTCACGACCCGTGATTGACCGACACGGAGACAGGGTCTTGCTGCGTAGGTCAGGCGGGCCTCGGATTCGCGGCATTCTCCTGCCTCAGCCTCCCAGGATTGGGATTACAAGCCTACGTCGCCACGCCGGGTTTACTGTCTGTGACTTACTGGGCGGAGTTTTCAGCCCTTTAGAAGAAGGCGATGGCTCAGAGAAAGGATTATTTTGGACACTTCATAGTCGGAGCGTGCCCTTGAGGGAAATACTGTTTCCTGTTAATTTTGCAGCTATTGTTATCTTGGTCTGACTTCCAGGCTGAGTTCCCCGCAGATCCTTTCTCGATAAGAGCTGATTTTACTCTTACTGGGATGACCCCTTCGGAGACTTTGGGCTTAGCCGGGTGCCAGCTTTAATCAGGGCCCAGGTGGAGTTGCTGCTGGGCTTCTCAGTGCCTCAGGTTCCACTTAGGTGAAATAAAGGTCCTTAATACAAGAGGCGTTAAAAAAAAAAATACGGCACGAGGGGCTGGGGAATTAGCCCAGCGGCACAGCGCCTGCCTGGCAAGCGCAAGGTCGAGTTCAATTCCCGGTACCGGGAAAAAGAAAACACCAAAAAAAAATTTCATTACAATAAAGGACGCATAGCCATTAAGCCCATCCCCCCAACCCTGCCCCTCACTTCTAACACACTTATCCTATTGTTCTTGCACTCTACGGCAGTTGTAGAAGTCCTTTTTCGCGAGTGATGACTTTAGGAGGTGTGATAAAATGGGAATGCTGCCGCCAAGTGCCACCCAACAGAAAGGCAGGCCTGTAACCCCAGCACTCGGGAGGCTGAGGCAGGAGGATCGCCCGGAGTTTGAGGCCCACCTGGGCTCCATACTGAGTTCAAGGCCATCTGCACTGCACAGTGAGACCCTGTCTGTAAATAAATCTCACAGCCTGACCTCATCCACCACATCCACCGCATCCACCGGATCTGGCGCTGTGACTTTGCACTCCTCCCTAAAGCCAGGATGACTTGAAAGGAAGGCAGCCAGGGTAGCACAGCTAGCAACACTCAGGAAGGAGGGCTTCGGGCTGCTTGGGAAGGCGGCGAGAACGTGAATAAGTGTGTTTGAGGCAAGAGTATTTTGAGGGGATTCATGGTGACGTCTTTTAAGTGTAATAACATTTCTTGTAAAAAATTTAAACATTGACTTTGTGCTGGGCTCACCTGGTACATGGGGCAAGTAATGTGCGAGGAGGAAAGTGCCGCCCTTGGGCACATCCTCTTGCGGGTGCTGGGGGCCATCAAGGGCCATCCCTGCGAGCTCCCGAGCGCATGCTCTGTGGCTAAGCCATGCCTCCGGGCCCACTGCACCATCCTTTCCCAAGGTCGTAGACCTCAGAGTTAGGGCCGTTAGGACTTGGACGGAAATGGCTCAACCTGGCAACCCATGGCACACACGCAGTCCACCGGAGGGAAGACCCAGCCCCAGATGTTTACTCATGCCAACTCTGAGGAAATTAATCTGCTAGGGTAGTGCACGGCCTTGGCGTTCAGGAAACCACACCTCTGAGTATTTGGATTTGGCATGCTGAGCGTCTGAGCTAAAGGAAATTCATTTATTTTTGGGACAGGGTCTCATTGTGTAGCCCAGGGTGGCCTTGAATTCTCAGCGATCCTCCTGCCTCAGCTTCCTGAATGCTGGGATTGCAGGTGTGCGCCAGCAGCCAGGGTTGTGTCTGTTCATTTCACAAGGGGTCTTGCTACGTAGGGGTCTTCCCTTTGTCCCTAAGACGCCACAGAGTGGGCCTTCATTAAGAGACCAAAGCCATTATTGTGGTCTGTTGAGTTTTTCTAGAGAAATGAAAGTTAATTCCTTAATCTCAGTGAGCCAGTCAGACCACTTTTGTATTTGCTTTTTAATTTATTTATTTGTCTTTTTTGAGACAGGGTCTCGCTATGCAGTTCAGGCTGGCCTTAAGCTCACTTTGTAGCCCAGGCTGATCTCGAACTCACAACAATCCTCCTGCCTCAGCATCCTGAGTGCTGGGATTACAGGTGTGCGTGACCATGCCCGGCTGTGTATTTGCTTTTTAATGGAATGATTCAAACAAAAGTACACAAGTAATACCCCCTTTTCAACCTTGAGCCCCACTTAACATACATAGTTATAAAACAGGATGGATTTTCTCAGCTCCCCAGAAGTAGCTATTAAAGTCTGTCTTTTTTTTCCCTTTTTCTCTCGAGGTGGGGATTGGGTCGGGGGCTTTGCATACCGGAAAGCCACATCCCCAGCCCTAGAACAGAACCCGTGTTTGTGCAGGTGGTGGTGATGGTTTTTTGTGCATTTGCCCTTAAATACCACGTGGCATTGTTTTGTGCCTTTTTAAAACTGTCCTACGGTGCGGGTCAACGGATGCATGGGTAAAGGCGACACGCTGCTTTTATGCAGCCCTGAAGCCTGGCCGCAGCAAGCTGGAGGCCATCGTGTCAAGTGAGAGAAGCTGGACACATTCACATCTCATGGTCCCCTGTCGTGGGGCGTCCAGGGGCAAAAGAGGGGCACGGATGTCGAGCAAGAGACTTACAGAAGAGGGGCTGGGACAGGGGAAGCGATCGAGGTTACGCGCTGGCATGGTTGCACCAAAATGAACCCACTGGTCTGTGTAAATAAAAAGTACTAATACAAACTTCCGTTAGTGAAAAACACTGCCCCCCCAAAAAAACCCTGCCATGATGGAATCCAGCTGTTCATATCCACCATCACTTTTTTTGTTTATGTTACAGTGGTTTCACTAAATTGCTAAGTTGCCCAGGCTGGGCTCCAGCTTGCCACCCTCCTGCCTCAGCCTCCCGGACTGCTGCCATTAGAGGCCTGTGCCCCAGCTATCAGCACCTGTTAATCATCTCATTTCTTTTTTGTTTGTGTTTTGAGACAGGTTCTGGCTGTGTAATTCAGGCTGGCCTTGATCTCACTATGTAGCCCAGGCTAGTGTCAGACTCATGGCGGTACTCCTGTCTCAGCTTACAGGCATGCGCCCGGGAGCTCCTCATTTCGCGTAGTTAATCTGAGCATTCTAGCTCGGTTTGGAGACTGCAGGACATGCTCCATCCAAGAGCGGACAGTCCTAAACCGGGCAGGGCCTGCAGACGCCTTCTGGGTGTACCAGTCATTCACACTGTAGTGGGCATGGTAAAGGGTTTTCAGGAGGACTCGGGCGGGGCGGGGTTGAGGCTGGTGATGTCTTGAGCTGTCTGTCACTCATGCTCCCAGGGGTGTAGCCTGGGGAAAACATCCAATCACGGTTTCCAGAAGGAAGTCGGAAGGTCTGTCCAATCAGAGGCGCTGGCCTCGGAATCGTAGTCCAATCATGGAGGATACCGTCCCAAGTGTTGTCCAATCAGAGCCTAGTGTGTGGTATCGCCACCCCAAAGCTCAGGTCTGGAGCGGAGCGGGGTGCTCTGGGTCCCAGCTGCCAGGTTTTCTGGGTTGAGGAAGGCCAGAGACTGCAGCCGGCGGGTAGCCGGGTGGTGAATGGGGGCCGGGCCAGTCTGGGGAGCCGTCCAGCGCGGGAGGGCGACTCGGGACCATTTAGGAGATAGGTGGAGCTGGGGTGGCTATTGGGATACGGCCGGGCCAGGGGGGCGGGGTAATGTAGGCGGAAGCCGGAGGCTTTGAAGGCTCGGACAGCAATGGGCATAAATTCGGAGCTAGGAGGACTTTGTTCAAAAAGACTGTTGCAGCCGGGTGTGGCGGTGCACCAGCGTTTGGGAGACTGAGGCAGGAGGATCGCTTCGAGTTCGAGGCCGGTCTGGACTACATAGTGAGACCCTGTTTTTTTTTTTTTTTTTTTTTTTTAAAGATTTACAATAGAGACAATGGATTCAAGACTCAGACATCTGCAAATGCTGGAACCCAAGAGAAAGGCTTTTTCTTTTATCCCTAAGGAGAAGCAGGCGGTTGGCGGGTGGTGGGGGCTCATGTCACGTTTTTGTGCTTGCTCAGACTTGAGGCCCTACCTCCAGAGCGGTGTAGCGTCCCAAGAGGGCAGAGCTGGGGCCAGTACCTTCCTCTGCTCATTCTGGGATGACGAGACCCTGTGGCGGGTGCTCCACCAGCGACATGTAGCGGAGGGCGGCCAGGGCAGGAGGCCCAGGGCCTCCTTGCAAGAGCGGATCTCAGAGCGATCTGCACTGTCCCGAAGTCGGGGGCACACTGGACCCTGCTCTTTCGATCCTTCAGCCTGAGCCTCCTGAGTGCTGGGGTAGCAGGCAGGTCGCACCACACCCGGCCTGGCCTCACAGGCTTAGGGAACTAGGCGTTTCTCTGGCCCCGCAGGTGTTGCCAGGCCTCAAGGCCCTGAGCCTGAAGCACTCCCTGGAGACCCCTTCTGCCCTACTGGGGGTGATGGGATGAGCTTGCTATCTTACAGTCCCGTCTTTGCAAATACCCAACACCCACCATCTATCTATCTGTCCACCCATCCATCCATCCATCCATCCATCCATCAGATTTTATGGAACACATTCATCATAGAGAATTTGTGCCTGTACATGATATACCTTAATTTTTTCCCCATTTCCTTCAACACTGTCTCCCCTCTCCATTTACAAAAGCTTTGTTTCCATTTTTTCCTGCTTTTCTCATTTATTTTTACTTCTCCCTTCTTTCCTTTCTTTTTTTTTTTTTTTTTTTGGTTTTTCTCCGGTACCGGGAACTGAACTCACGACCTTGTGCTTGCCAGGCAGGTGCTTTTGCCGCTGAGCTAAATCCCCAGCCCCTCCCTTCTTTCCTTTCCTTTCTGCCTCCATTTCCCTTGTTCCCCTTCCTATCTGAACATTTTCTTCCTGTTTTACTATATCTTTTACTATATCTATATATTTTGGTCCTTATTTACACTTTCGGTTTCTCACACCAGAGAAACAATGCAGTATTTACACGTGTGTCCCATTTATTTTGCTTAAGAGTATGGTCTCAAGGTGCATCCATTTACCTAAGACTGTCTCAAGCTTATCTTTCTTTATGGCAGAGTAGTATTCCATTACATTAAGAAAACCAAAAAAGAAAAAAAAGAAAAAAAGAAAACCAGACCTTCTTTATCCATTCACCAGTTGAATGGGCATTTGGGCTGTTCCAAGATTTAGCTATTACAAACTGGCACTGTAAACACGAGTGTGCATATATCACTGTGGTACAGTGTTTTTAATTCTTTTGGGAAGATACCCAGCAGCGGAATAGCTGGGTCAAATGGGCATGCTAGTCCCAGTTTTTGAGGAATCTCCACACTGATTTCCATAGTAGTTTCCCCAGTCTGTACTTCCACAAAAAATGAAAGAGGATTCCTTTTTTCCCACAGCCCCACCAGCATTTGTTATTGGCTGATTTCTTGATAGCCATTTTTTCTGAGGTTAAATGGAATCTCAGTATTGTTTTAATCTGCATCTCTCAAATTACCAGTGATGTTGAACATTTTTCCATATATTTATTTGCTGCTTATACTTCATCTGAGAAGAGTGTGTGCATCTGTCTTAGTTACTTTTCTCTTGTTGCTGAGACAAAATACCAGACACCCAAAATTAAGGAAGGAAAGGTTTATTTAGCTCACAGCTTGTGGAAGTTTCAGTCCGTAATCAGCTGCCTCCAAGGCAGGGCGGCAGGGCAGAGGGCAACAGTTCAAGGTGGCAGAAGACAGCAAAAGCAACAAGAGTAAAAGGGGGCAGAGCAAGCCTCTTCCTCCCTTATATGGTAAGCAGGTCCCGCCCACCCGCCCCACCGCCAGGGAGGGTGTAGCACTCACAGTGTCCATGCCCTCCTCCTGCACAGGTTGAGGGTGTTCACAAAGGACAGACCCTGGCTCCCTGCTGAGTGTCTTAGTTAAACTTCTAAACTTCTCAAGTTGACATAATATATCAATCGTTGCAGTATCTCAGATGCCCATTTGTAGACAGGGTCTTCAAGTTTGGGGGGTCAGATTCTCCTGAGTTCTTTATATGTTCTTGATACTAATCCTTTGAGGAACAAGCTGGCAAGCATTTTTCCTACACTGTGAGTTGTCTCTTCACCCTGCTGGTGGTTTCTCTTGCTGTGCAAACATTTTTTAATAAGATGAGTTCCAAGTTGTTGGTTCTTTGTGGTAGCTCCTGTGCAGTCGGGGATTTGCTTGTAAGGTCTTTGCCTACACCAGTGTCTTCAAGAGTTCTACCAGTTTTCTGTTCCAGCAGATTTATCTTTTTTTTTTCTTTTTTTTGAGACAGAGTCTCACTCTGCAGTTCAGGCTGGCCTTGAGCTCACTTTGTAGCCCAGGCTAGTCTCCAACTTGAAATGATCCTCCTGCCTCAGCCTCCCGAGTGCTGGGATGACAGGCGTGCGCCACCACTCCCGGCTGTTCCAGCAGATTTAATGTTTCTGTTTTAACCTTTAGATCTTTGATCCATTTAAATTTTAATTTAGTTCATGGTAAAAGATACGGGTCCAATTTTAATCTTTGGCATATGCAGAGCCAGTTTTTCCAGCACCTTTTATTAAAGAGGTTATCTGTCCTCCAGTGAATGCCAACACCCACAATTTAAAGGAGGAGAGGTTTATTTTGGGGCCTACTTTCAGCCCACAGTCGGCTTCCGTGCAGAGAGGGCACGGTGGGAGGGCCTGGACCGAGGAAAGCTGCTCAGGGTTCTCAGCTGGAAGCAGAGCCGGAAGCAGAGCCAGAAGCACCCTTCAGGCCACGTCCTCAGTGACCACTTCTGTCTGGGCCCAGCCTCCTAGCAGCACATTCAGAACCCATAGATGAGAACAGCATCCCGTGACCCAATCACCTTCCACACAGTGAGACTTTGGGGACATTTTATTTATTTATTTTTTTGGTTTTTTTCTGTACTGGGAATCGAACTCACGACCTTGCACTTGCCAGGCAGGCGCTGTGCCACTGAGCTAAATCCCCAGCCCCTATTTATCTTTTTTTGTACTGGGAATCGAACTCAGGACCTGCCAGGCAGGTGCTTGTGCTCCTGAGCTATATCGCCAGCCCATGGGGACATTTTAGATCTACACCGTAACACCCCGACTCTGTTGCCTCTCAGGGCAGGAATCTGTATCAAACAGTCCTGGATGTCCACCTGCCCTGCTTGGCACATCTTGTCATTTTGTGTCCAATTTTTTTTTTTTTTTTTTTGTCTTTTTGAGACAGGGTCTCACTATGCAGTTCAGGCTGGACTTGAGCTCACTTTGTAGCCCAGGCTGGTCTTGAACTTGCAACGATTCTCCTGCCTCAGCCTCCTGAGTACTGGGATGACAGGCATGTGCCACCACATGTGCCTGGCTCTTTGTGTCCAGTTCTTGAAACCAAATAAGAAATAATAAACTGGGCGTGGTGGCACACACCTGTCATCCTAGTACCTGGGAGGCTGAGGCAGGAGGATCACTGAATTAGAGGCTAGCCTGGGTTACATAGTAAAACCCTGTCTCAAAGCAGTGGCTTGGTGAGGAAGCTTCTCAGGACAGGGCAGTCAGGCAGCAGAGAAAGGGGAGGAAGTGGGAAGTGAGAGCCACCCTGCCAGGCCACCCCCCAGGGACCTCCCTCTTCCCACCAGACCCACCGCCTAACAGCAGAGATTCCTCAGGGAGTTAAGTTTGTGACAGCTGCACCACAGCGAATCCCCTTTGACAAAGGCAGGTGCTGCTCTGAACCCCACATGTTCATGGCCTTGAACAAAGTGCCAGCCCAGGTCCCAGACCTGTCTGTTGGCCTTTGCCATCCCCCTGCCATGTGCTTCCCTCTAGGAGAGGGAGTCAGCGCCGACGCCCCTCTGCTCTCCTGACGGCAGCTGGGGCAGAAGACAGGCATCCCTGTGTGGCCACTGTGCACATGGGGAGCAATAGCTCTGCGAGGCCGGGCTGTGTTTCTTTTTTTAGGCAGGACCCACGCACTGACCCATATGCCCAGCTTTTATAAAAAAGTTTGAAGCTGAGCACACCTGCAATCACAGCCCTTGGGGAGCTGAGGGAGGAGGATCCCTGCGAGGCTGAGCGCAGTCTGAGCTATGTAGCGAAACCCTATCTCAAAACAAACATTTTGAGAGTGGGTCTCACTAAGTTACTAGGTTTCCCAGGCTGGGCTTACACTTTGGATGTTCCTGCCTCTGCCTCCTGGAGTGCTGGGACGACAGGCGTGCGCCACCGTGCCGGCTCCTCTTCTCATCTTTGTAAGATTTCTCTACTGAGCATCTCACGCCTGCATACTAAATAGCAACTTCTTCCTGGCTCCAGATTCAAGGTTGGGGTGGAAGTACAGAACTCTGTGTCCCTGCCAGTGCTGTTGAAATGCATGTTTCAACCCATCTGTCCCTCGGTTTCCGGCAGGTCATGGTTCCTGCGTCACCGCATGGCTCCCTGATCACATGACCTCCTAGGAAGGCCCGAGTGCTCAATGGAGGGGGGTGAAGTTCTTCCTGGGTGTCCCGCCGGTGTCCACACCTGCCCCGTGAGGAGCCCCTTTTAGATGCGTCTTGTGGGTGTGGAGATTTCAGCCGGTGGATGAATTACGGCGTGAGGAGCAGCGTGCGTCTTCATCACGCACTGCTGGCTGTGCGTCTTCGCGGGTATTGTTCAGATGCTGCTCGGGCTGCTCTCAGGTAAGTGCGTGAAAGAAACGAGATTTTTTTTTTTTTTTTTAAGGTACTGGGGATGGAACCCAGGGTCTTTACACTGAGCAGTATCCCCAGCCTTTGTTTTGGTTTGTTTATTTGTTTAGGAAACATTTCAGGAATCGAAAAAATTAGTACATATTTGCAGTTCATGCAGTGTAGAGTCGTCTTGGGGAGTGGCTACATGAATCCATTACAGCTTGCTCCCAGCCCTTTTTATTGATTTTTTTGAGTCAGGGCTTAAGTCATAAATTGCCAAGGCTGATCCCTAACTTGTGACCCTCTTGCCTCAGCCTCCCAATGTGCTGATTATAGGTGTGTCACTGCACTTGGCTAAGAATCTAGCTTTTTGAATTCCTTTTTTTTTTTTTTTTGTCTTTTTGAGACAGGGTCTTGCTATGCAGTTCAGGCTGGCCTTGGGCTCACTTCGTAGCCTAGGCTGGTCTTGAACTTGCAGCAATCCTCCTGCCTCAGCCTCCTGAGTGCTGGGATTACAGGTGTGTGCCACCATGCCCAGCCTCAACACAGTTTCTGAAGTAACATTACATGCATAGAATAAATTTGGCATCTTTTTGTTGTTTGTTTGTTTGTTTTATTTTTTTGAGACATGGTCTCACTCTATACTTCAGGCTGGGCTTGATCTCACTCTGTAGCCCAGGCTGGCCTCGAACTCACAGCAATTCTCCTGCCTCAGCCTCCTGAGTGCTGGGATTACAGGTGTGCGCCACCACACATGGCTTAGGTGGCATTGGGTGGGAGGAATAACTTCTAAAGTTCTCCAGCACGTTCCGATAACTATGGTTGACAATGCTGAAATGTTTCAAAACAGGATTGTGAATGTTCCCAACACAAAGAAATCACAAATGTCTCTGGTGACTTATGTGCCAATTACCCGGATGCGATCATCACACATTGTATTGTATACATGTGTCAAATGTACCTTGCACTTCATAAATATGTGCAGTTGCTATGTGCTCATGGAAAATAAAAATATATTCAGAAAACAATACATCTAGTTCCAAAGCATGAGCATGTCCCTGGGATTTCCATCACCACAGAGGCGTGAGTGTGAGACCTATTTGCATATATGAATATGGAGTGACTCACAGTGCATTTCCTGTCTTTTCATGGGAGCATCACAGATGCTGGAGGTATCCTAGTCCTGTTTACACTCGAGGCTGGAGAAAAAGTGATTATCCAGCCTGCATATCAGTTAAAATATGTCAAAGGGACACCTTGACCTCAGGGTTCTGCTCTGCCAGCCGAGTTCCTGTTCCATTATGAATGATGTTGCTTTCTCCAGCTCTGCTCCCCTCTGAGTAACATCTGCTTGGCAGCTGTGTTGGGAATGGGTTTCCTTGGAGGACAGGAATGAGGTGGAATGCCATCATTTTATCGGTTAAGGGAATTTTTCTACTGGCCTGAATTACCCATTAAAGGAGGATCCTTCAACAGTGAGATTGTTTCATAGGCACCTCACAGCTGGGATTTTACCATCAAAAAGGAATATGGCCATAAGGTCGAACCTCCTTGGGTTGAGGGACCTGGGCCGCGGCAAGGGGCGGCACGGTGAAAAGAAGACACCTAGCGCAGATCTACTTTACTGAGGAAGTACCAGGCGTTTTATTGAGCGAGCTAGGGGCGTGGCAATGGAGGCGTGGTCATCGAGGGGAGGCACCGAGGGAGGGGCAGAGCGGGGCAGTCCGGGCAGAGAGACTCACTCGGTCTGCCGAGGACATAACAAGTCCAAGTCTGCTTAGACTCGTTCCTCCACCACCGCCGTCAACCAGACCTCTGGACCCTTATTTTCCACATGGCCAGGCATGGTGGCACACGCCTATAATCCCAGCACTCAGGAGGCTGAGGCAGGAGGATTGCTGAGAGTTTGAGGGCAACCTGGGCTTCGTGAGTTCAACACCAGGCTGAACTACAAAGTGAGACCGTGTCTTAACCAAAAATGTCCTTTTAGTGTAAAACCTACACTTGCAAATTTTAATGGGCATCTTATTATTCGTGGTTATTCTAGAAGAGTTGCTGCCCTGGGCTGGGGCTGTGAGTTGCAGCCTGTCTGTGGTACAAAGGGCTCCTGAGGCCCCGGTGCCTTGCTGCACACACCAGCTAGTGGTATGGGGAGGGCTGGGTGGGACTTCCAAGGGGCCTGCCATCAGTGCATGTGGTGACACCACTAAGTGTTTTTAGGTTTTATTTTGAGACAGGGTCTTGCTAAACAGTTCAGGCTGGCCTTGAACTCACTATGGAGCCTCAGCTGGCCTCAGGATCCTGAGTGCTGGGGTGACAGTCGTGTGCCACCACACCCAGCAGTTTTGTTAATACAGATGCACAGGTGACCTCATGCCCCAGACTGACCCCAGACTCTGCAGGACCCTCGGCCCTCCTGTGGTGTTCTATTCTGGGTGTCACTCCATGGGGAAAAACCCTGAACTTACCTGCAAAACATACCTGCATGTCCACCTATGCGGGGAGAGCCACCAAGCTGAAGGTGGTCACAACTCTGCCCTAGAAGCCACGTAACCGTAAGGCTGCAGGAGAGATTGCAGTTCATATTCCTTTCTAAGATATGGAAAAACTCTGCCAAGGTAGACACTATGGATGGTAGTGCTATGGTCTGAATCTTCAATATGACCCCAAACCTCATGTGTTGAAGCCTTGATCCCCATTTGGCAATGTTCAGAGACGGAGCTTTAGCAAGGTCCTGGCTTATAAGGATGTTATGGTTTGTGTCTGCATGTCCCCCCAAAGCCTCATGCAGTCATGGGGCGGGCTTCTAGGTTTTTGATTGATCCACAGTCCAATGCTGGGGTTATGGGTGTGAGTGCTACACTGCCCTGGGGCGGGAAGTTTGCATGCAATGTAAGGGAGGGAAAGAGGCTGCTTGCTGCTGCTGCTCCTCCCTTTTGCTCTTGCTGTTTTTGCTATTTTCCACTGCCATGAACTGTTGCCCTCTGCCATGTGCCACTCTGCCTTGGAGCCAGCGAGTATGGACTGAAACCTCCACAAACTGTGAGCTAAATAAACCTTTCCTTCCTCAGTTTCGGGTGTCAGGTATTTTGTCTCAGCAACGAGAGAAAAGTAACCAAGACGGAGGACTCTTGCCCTTCACTCACAATGACTCCACTGATTCAATCATAACGTGCTTCCCTGAGTGGGAGATGGTGGCAACTTAGAAGACCAGGCCTAACTGAAGGGAGGGGACCATGACAAAGGAACCTTGGGAACTGGATCTTGTCCCCTGCCCCCTCTGCCTCTTCTCTGCCCTGGGGTGAGCAGCCCATTATATCCTACCACCATGGCATTTCTGCTTCTCCTGTGGTCCATCCTAATAGAGCCAGCCAACCACTGCCCGGAACCTCTGAAACCATGAGCTCAAACCTCCTTTAGGTTGATCTCAGGCATTTTGTCACAGTGAGGAAAAGCTGACTAACACAGCGATATGGGCAAGCATTTGGATATTTAGTTCCTTTTAAAGATATGGAAAGCTTCCCACTGGACAGTATCTCATGCACCACAGGTGGTATGGTGGGAAGTCTGTATGTGATCTGTGAATTTTCAAGGACATCATCAGAACATGTTCTCTGGAGGGAAAAGTTACAAATGTGAGCAGTGTGGGAAAGCTCACCATTGGCCCTCATCTTTACAAAAATATGCAAGCAAAAGGGAAACCTATCAATATAAATAGAGTGGCAGAGTCTTCAACTGGTCCTCCTATTTACAAAAACTTGCAAAACCCATACATGTGAAAAAAATAGGAAAGCTCAGAGTTAAGGTAATTGCTTTCAATGTAATACAAGAACTGATCTTGGAGTAACGGCCTGTAAAGGTAAGCAATGTCAGAAAGGTAGAAGGAAATGAATATATAATGCTCCATGAAACAAACCAGGAATCTTTTTTATTTAGATCACCAAAAATAACATTTTATAGAAAGGGAACATGACATTACTCAACAAAATATGGCTAGAAAATCTCAAACAAGACAGGCAATGCTTCATTAAGTACCCAAAATGATGTTTTATAGAGGGAACTCTAAATGTATAGCCACACATTTTCTTTTGCCATCAACACCATTTCCTTCTAAAAGATTTTGGGATTTCTCGGTGGTTTCCATGTACAAACTAAAATTGATTGCTCAGAGTCATTCAGCCTCACCACAAGAATGAAAACAGTCTACAAAAATATTTTGTTTAGCCAGGTGTAGTGAGGCATTTGTGTAATCCTGGCAAGAGAAAGGCAGTGGCAAGAGAACTGCCATGAGCTCGAGGCCAACCTAGGCTACAGTGAGTTCAAGGCCAGCCTCAACTGGCAAGATCCTTCTCAAAAACCAAATCTTTTCATGCTAATAAATAACAATATGGTTCTCAGTAACAACTGCAGTGTACCAGAATAGCTCACTTTTGTGGACGTTTCACGATGAACGCATCTGTTCACTGGCTGTCATCACAGATGTCCTGTACAATAGCAAGGGTTACTTCAGAGGACATTCAGGCACCAAGGAAGTGATTCTTAACAAATACTACAAGGTGTGGGCAACTTCAATAACAAAGCCCACCTCTGCCGGGCCTGGGATTTGTGCACGCTGGAACCTGGAGCACAAAGCCAGCAGAGCCACGGTCTTACAGAACCACCAGACTTTAATCAATTGCCCTGGGGCTCTTGGTGCTGCAGTGCCCCTTGCCGGCAGTGACATAGGCCGACTCTGGGAAGAAGTCAGCGTGGTATTCTGCCAAGAACCTCAGGAAGAGATCGAAGTGCTTCAGTAAAGCCTTCAGATTCTTCTCAGGAAAGGACACCTTTCCCAGGATTTCTGGAAGTTTTATAAACAGTCGTAGCAAATGTTGTGCCCCATAAATACAAGAGGGTGGAGGTGGCTGGTCACTTGGAGGGTAATTGTCAGGTACAAGCTTCCAGAAGAGGACCTCGTTTATTTCACTTCTCCCTTCAAAGCCAGCAAACACAGGACCCCCTTCCTTATGAGGGGTCAGAGTGCAGGAAGGCGATCTGCTATGCACAGGTGTCTTCTTTTCCAGATGCAGGGACGGCCTGGGCCTGCTGGCAGACACGTCCTGCTGGCACACGGGCTGAGGCCAGGCGCTGCTCTGGGTCTGCCTGTCGCAGTGGGTGCTGTGACGCGTGGACCGCCGCAGGGACTGCAGTGCTTCTGGCTCAGTTTTGTTCCTCTTAGGGGTGGGGGGTTCATCAGTGCTTGGTTGACTTTCTGTGGACTGCGGTGTGGATAGAGTCAACAGAGGCGGGCTGAGAAAGAGCGCTTCCTGGCTCCCACTAGTGTTTGTGGCACTCTGCTTAACTGGAACAAAAGATTTAGTTGAAGTCACCTTTTTATACTGTGCTTGTTCATACGGGTAGAGCAAGAGCAATGGGAGAACGTAATCAAAGGTTATTCTCAGTCCATCCACCATCTCCTTACACAGGGCAACACTGTTTTCTGCTGGAATATAACGCGTGTTCACATTGGCATCCACCACAGTGTGCGGGTGCTGAGGCCTCTCCTTGACCGAAGAGGCTGCATTGATGGCAAAATGCTTCACATAGGATTGCAAAATAGTCAGGATGTTGGTCTGGCATGGAAGTTTCACTAACCGCTTCCTCCTGTTAATATTGTAACAGTCATCTTCAAGTTGCCTCCTGAGAACTTCAGGGATGTCTATAGTTATTGTTCTTTCTTCCATTTCTTTTTTTTCTTTTCTTTTCTTTTCTTTTCTTTTCTTTCTTTCTGTTTGCAGTTCTAGTTCTGAGCTACAATTGGCTTTTCTTGCTAATTTACACTGTAGTCTATGATTTTCATCTGTATCACAAAGTACACAAACTTCTGTTCCCCTTCTATCCCAGCTTCTGTCCCAACCGTTAAAATGGACCAGATGTTCTGGGATCTTTCTACCTTTTTCCTCTTTCCCAACAATAACATCCACAGTCTTGGTGTCCTACAGCAGTCACCTTTTTGGGGTCAGGCTCAAAGAACAGCACTTTCTCCTTTGAATGAAATATAAAGTTCACACCTGCACTTGGGCTCATTTACTAATTGAAAAGAAATCTTACACAAGTTATAAGTAGGGTACTGCTTTTCATCAGTACTTCATTTTTGTAGTGGACCCACAGGTGATGAATTTCTAGTTGAGTTTTCCAATAGCCACAGAGTTGAGGAATTCTAAGTACATTATGAGCAATAGTACAGAAATTTTATGGTGTTTTTCCATGTAATTAATAAAATTTCATCTTTGTGGATCTGTTGGATCTTCAAATGATTTGAAATATTATTTTCATTATGTAAGTAGCCCAATTACGCATCTTTAATTGTTCTATAAGGAGTAACTGCAAAATATCATTTTGGTAGCTACTGCAATTTTTGTTAGCTGTTTAATGTAACAGGTACTGAATACCACTTCCCTATATTCACATATATTCCAGTTTTCTTACTGAGAAACTGACTTTTCATTTGACTGAAGTAACCTTATCCATTTATCGTGTTAATAACTAGCTGATCAAAATCTGTATATGTGCAAAGTTCATCATCAAATGAATTATTTTCGTCTTTGCCCTTTTCTAACCAGCAAATGTCTTCGCTTCTAAAGGTAACTTGGAAAATGAACTGTGAATGAAGAGATCTGTGAGATGACAACACAATGTAGAGTTGTAGATGGTTCTCCTGGTAGATTCTGTCAATGTGAGAGGTGTTTCCCTTTATGGTCCAAGGTTATAATTCAGCAGTTTCCTAACTTTTTGACACCTGGAAAGGAAGCAGATATTACTCAGGTGTAGAGCCACAACTGCTGGGTGTAGTGGCCCATGCCTCTTATTTCAGGACTCTGGGAAGCTGAGGCAGGAGGATCACAAGTTCCAGCCCACCTTGGGCGACATAGTGAATTAGCAAGACCATGTCTCAAAATAAAAAAGGGCTGGGGATGAAGTTCAGTGCAAAAGACTTAAATTCAACCTCCAATAATGGCAAAAAAATAAGTAAGAGCCAGGACTGAAAAGGACAGATATACTCGGGCTTTGTGGATTCCAGCTTCTGTTTCACTTACCTGATTCTTGGTCCCACCATAGATACAGTTTGACTTAGAGGTAAGTATGTAATTCCCTAGATGCCTCCAACAGGTATGCATAGGGATCCACTTCCCAATGGATCCTAACAGAACTGTCCTAACCCTTGAGCATCAGTATCCCATCTTTCCAGATACTTTTTTTTTTTTTTTTTGAGATAGGGTCTTGCTACGTTGTCCAGTTTGTCTTTGAACTCATTATGCAGCCCAACCTGGCCTCAAACTCATGGATCCGCTTGCCTCGGACTTGCCCAGTTTTGGGATTAAAGGTGTATGCTACCACAGCCGGCTCGTTATTAGGGTTTCACACCCGGCCTGGGACAGCCAGCCACAGGTGTGAGGTGTGTAAGTGGCAGAGGCAAGATGGACGTCATGTGTCCAGCACAGCACAGTCTCAATGGCACCAGCGACGTCACCAATGTGTCCTGTGTGCTCTGCCTCAGGTGTAAGCATACTCTCTGTACCCGGGTCTCCCCACAGGGTTCTCGCACTCTTTCGGGCAGGCTGATGTACTGCCCACCTCCTCCCGCCTCCTCCCGCCTCCTCCCGCCTCCTCCCGCCTCCTCCCGCCTCCTCCCGCCTCCTCCCACCTCCTCCCCTCACAGCCATCTCATACCCCGAGGTTCAGAGCCCTCCATCTTGGCACGTGTGCTCTTCCTGCCCACGCTGCCCCGGTGGCGTGTGGGAAATGGTAGGCTCACATGAGCATGCGCAGAATGCTGGGCGCAGGTTTCCGGCCCTCCTACTCAGCCACACGCCCCGCCCCAGAGCCACATGGGATGGCGGACCTCCTGAGTGCGCAGGCGCAGTGTCAAGAGGGCGTGGTGGAGGGGGCGTGGGGGGGCGGTGGTGGGGTGAGCGGGGAGGTTCTCCCTCCAGGTCTGCCGTACTCACGTCAATTTCAGAGCAGCAGAGGGGGCTGGGAAGGGAACCGTGGAAGCCTGACCTCTCTACGCTTCACATCAGCTTCTCAGTTTCCCGCGGGTACTGCAAGAGGACTTCAGAGTGCGGTTTGAGTTCCTCACGTGTTCACCCTCCTGGATTTGGGATGGCTTTGTGAGGCCCGGGGCAGAAGGACTGAGGTCTGGCGCCTTGTGACCACAGTGCAGAACGTGGTGGCCACCACCCAGGACATAGACACCCATGCTTCCCTCCCCGAGCTTCCAAGTGGAGAGCGACTCCACCAAAATGTCATTTGTCCTGGGTCAGTTTGAGCCTGACCTAACAGTTCTCCTGCTGGAAAAAAAAAAATCCTGAGGTGTTCACGGGTGGGAACTGTCTATGCAACAAGAACAGGGCGCAGCGGGTGTGCGATGCTAGCCCAGGAAAACGGACCGGGTAGAGGCCCTTCTGCCAGGTGCTGCACACGCGAGGCATTGCTGAGCACCGACGGGCAGCATCCATTTACAGACAAAATGACTGCGATCGCTGATTTCAAATACACGTTTCCAGCAGCCCATGCTCATGGACCCATTTAAAAGGAAGAGGAGCGTCCACAGTTTACCTAGTCACCTACCCCATGGCTTTGGTTGCCTCTTGTATTCTGCTGTGCAGTTTGTAACGCTACTTTTACTTCTAGGCCTAAGTACTGTATCTGGCTTCTTTGAATGCAGTACATAATTTGCCCCGCTGCAGTAATGGATGTCCAATAAACCTGCCATTTTGAGTAAACACCAGTAAAATCATGTTTAAAACCCACAAAACCTTAGGCTCTTAAAGACAGCCAGGCTCCAAGACCACAGTCTAGCCATCCCTGCCTGGGATGTTTCAAAAAAAATTAACGAGCTTCACCAGATGTTGCCTGGTTTCTGCTTTCTGGCTCCTTTGAGAGCTGTTTTGCTTCCACTCTTTTGGCGGTACAACTTAAATGTCTGGTTTCATTCATTCATTTATTTACTCAATTTATTTGAGACAGTCTTGCTATGTATTCCAGGCTGGCCTTCAACTCATTGTGTGGCCTAGCCTGGCCTCAAACTCATGGTAATCTTGTTGCCTCAGCCTCCTGACATGTACCACAGTATGTCATTTTTTTTTTGGTACCAGGAATCAAACTAAGGACCTTGCGCTTGCCAGGCAGGTGCTTGTGCACTAAGCTATATCCCCGGCCATCATATCTGTCTTAGATCCCAAATTTGAGGGATGAACAAAGACAAAGGGAAAAATGTAACTGAGGAAAAACCTTATCCCAAAAGATGGCCTCAGTGAGCCTCCAGAATCAACTCAGATGTCAGGCAGTCTGTCCGAGCAAAGTACAGTCCTTTCCTAACAACACTCTCTCCCCTGGTGTTTCCGAGGAAAAAATTAAACCCTGTAGTTTCACTTGCTTTTAGTTGACTTAAAATCATTCATTTTGGAGGTGCCACAGCTGGTCTTTTTGCACCTTAACTTCCTTAAAAGCAGTTCCCAAACTACCCTGAGGGAAGTAGTCCGGGTCTCTCTCTCTCTCCCCTGCCCCCCATCTCTGCTTCCCTTTTCCTCTGGAGAAAAACTTAATAAAAGCCTTGTCTTGGAACTTCCTGGCCTCTTGTTGATTCTGTCTCTAGGAAGCTGAAGATCCCGGGGCCTGCAACACTCCATAGCGCTGAGCTGCACTTTGGTCCCTTGAGATGGATGTTTAGAGCTGAGAATGACCTCAAAATGAGCTTTCTGAGCCGGACATGGTGGTGCACGCCTGTCATCCCAGCACTTGGTAGGCTGAGGCAGGAGGATCATTGCAAATTTGAGACCAGCCTGGGCTACAAAGTGAGCTCAAGGCCAGCCTGAACTCATAGCAAGACCCTGTCTCAAAAAGACAAAGATGAGCTCTCTGGCAACATGATGCTGATGCCTGTGGATGAGGACACGGGGGACTGGGGTGTAGCTTTATATTCTAAAACCACAGCATCTCCAGAGATCTTGAAGCAGAAAATGCTCCCACAAGCACCAGTATACTTCAGTTTGTTAGTTGCCCAGGTGACAGTTCCTGTTCCAGGTCCAGTTGCTCCTGTCCAGAAACAGCTGGTCAGTGCGATGCACATTGTATAAAGCAACCCCCAGTGGACAAGCCATTCTGCCTCTGTACTTCCTGCTTGCTTGTCCAATATAAGCCCTAGACCACCGGAGATCAGAGCCTGATGTTTTGGGAATGATCCCAATCAGTGCCTGGTCGATGTAAATAAATCTGCTTCCAAATCTTTGGTGCTATTTTGGCGTTTATGCTTGCTGTAGCAATCTGGACTTTGAGACCTGGAATAAACTCACATATTCCAGAAGCCTTCCGGTCAGACATAACCCTAAGGGGTATTTCCTATCAGTTCAAGTCCAAGAAAGGCTGGGCCATGAGCCCTCCTTCCACCCTTAAAACATTTAAATTCATTTCCTTAAATATGGGAAGAACCAAAGGACTGGGTTAGCTGTGCTGCTTCTGAGAAAACAATTCAACACTGTCTGATACACACCAAGGAACATCTCAGTATTTAGATAAGAAGTGAGAAACACAAAAGTACCCCTAGAAAACTGGAGGGCTAGGCAGGTCTCTCCTATTGAAGAGAAACAATCTCATTGAATTGACAGGGCATGGCTGCTCAGGAAACGCAGTGGGCTGAGCATGTGGCCTTGGAATGGCATGGGAGGACAGAAGGCTTTCCCACAGTTTGCACAGGTATAGACTCTCTCTCCCATGTGAGGATGCACTTTTCCACAAGCGTTCTACCACTGAAGTATTCCTTGTTTTTTAAACTGTGAAACAGGGTCTTGCTAAGTTGCCCAGGCTGGCCTTGAACTTGCCATCCTCCTGCCTCAGCTTCCCAACTAGCTGTGGTCATAGGTATACTGTCAGGCCCAGGTTTGTGTTATAAGGGTAAAATGGCAAATGAAGTCTGACTGCATCAATAATAACATCAAAAGGGAATGGATTACAAAACACAATTAAAAGGCAGAAATTTTTGGGCCAGGCATGGTGGTCCACACCCATAATCTCAGCACCCAGGAGGCTGAGGCAGGAGGATTGCTGCAAGTCTGAGGCCAGTGTGGACTACACAGTGAGCCTATCTCAAAAAATCCAGGTAGATAAATGGTAACTAGTCATATGTAAACATGGTCCTCATCATACAACATCAGAAAAAGACCAATAAAATAAACTGTCACTGTATACCTATAAGAATGGCCCAAATACTAGCACAGCCGGTAAGATGTGAGCAGAGCAGCAGAAACCCTCAAGGAGGGGAAATTGACGCAGCCACTGTGCAAGAGCCTGGTGGATTCTCAGAATCAAGGTCCCTGTGGCCGAAGTCCAGCAATGACCCTGCTCCGTGTTTACCGGACAGAGCAAACACCTTGCACACACAGAGCCTGCGCCTGAGGCTCACAGGAGCTTTGTTCATAATGGCCGGAACACGCAGGCAACAAGGTGCCCTTCGCTAGGGAATGGGGTAATAAACTCTGGTCCATCCAGACCGAGTTACAGGGCATGGTGGTGGCGCATGCCTGTGACCCCAGATGCCCTGGAGGTGGAGGTAAGGAGGATGGAGAGTTTGATGACAGCATGGGCAGCCTGGTGAGACCCTGTCTCAAAATAAAATAAGAAAATGAAAGAGTTGGGAGCGCAGCTCACCGGTGAGTGCTTGTCTGGCGTGCATGAGGCCCTGGGTTCCTTCCCCGGGACTGAACAATAAAACCTAGGACGACATGGAAGAAATTAAATGCATATTATCTTTTCATTTTATTTTCTAAATTTTCATTTTTACTAGTATATATTTGCAGTACATAACGATCACATTCATCATGGGGAGTTATTTCCCTTCCCTTCTCTCCCAAATGCGCATTACTAAGCGAAAGAATCCAGACTGAAAAAGGCCTCAGATTGTGTGACTCCGACTATGTGACATCCCAGGAAAGGTGGACAGCGGTGGCTGGAGGAGGGGGGCGAACAGGTGGAACACAGGCATTTTAGGACCATGAAACTACTCTGTCTGGCTGGGCGTGGTGGCGCACACCTGTAATCCCAGCACTCAGGAGGCTGAGGCAGGAGGATCCCTGTCAGTTCAAGGCCAGACTGGGCCACAAAATGAGTTCAAGGTCAGCCTGAACTGCATAGCAAAACCCTGTCTAAAAAAAAAAAAAGATACTCTGATGCTAAAGTGGCGGACACCCGTCACTGTGCATTTGTGAAAATTCATACAAGTATAACACCAAGAGTGGACCCCAACACAAACTATGGGCTTTTGGGAGATGAAGCTGTATAAGAGGATTCCTCAGTTCTAACGGATGAACCCGACTGGGGTGAAAGGCTGACAGTAGAAGGGGTGCATGCAGGCGCATATGGGTGGGTTCGTAGGAACTCTCTACCACCAGCTCCATTTTGCTAAAACATAGCTTATTCCCAAAAGAGTTGAAGACATCATACTACAGTGACACATGCATACCTGTGTTTTTAGCAGCACGACCCATAACAGCTAAATCTTAGGAGTGCCTTATGTCCCCACCAACACAAATGGATGAAGAAAATGTGGTATTTATGCATGACGGAGTACTGCCCAGCCCAGAGAAGCGTGAATTCGGTCGTCTGTGGGAAAATGGGTGCATCTTGAGCCCATAATATTGAGTGAATAAATCAAACACAGAAGGTTAAATAGTGCATGGTTTCCTCTTATATGAGAAATCCAAGGTATAAATAATTTATTTTATTTTTATTTATCTTTTGGTACCGGGAATTGAACTCCGGACCTTGCGCTTGTGAGGCAGGCACTTGTGCCACTGAGCTATATCCCCGGCCCGGTATAAACAATTTAAACAGCATAATAAAGGATAGATAGGAAATAGGGAGATGGACTTCCTGAAGATAGGAAGGGGATCTAGGGATGGGGGAAAGGAGAGGGAGGAGAGGGAGGAGAGCAAAAAGGATTCAGATGCACTATGTACATGTATCGGTTCCCTATGATGAATATATTTGTTGTATATCACACACACACTAACACAGAAGGAAAATAAGGTCTATTTTTAAAAGGTCCCAAGTGTGGTGGTGCATGCCTGTAGTCTCAGCACTTGGAGGCTAAGGCAGGAGGATTGCCACGAGTTCGAGCCCAGCCTGGGCTACATCTCAACAGCAACAACAACAAATGTTAAACACAGTGTTATTCATTGGTCCAGCAATTCCACTCCTGGAAAGATACTGAGGAGATCTCATAACAAATGTTTTTTTTTTTCTTTAACAAATGTTTACTTGGAAGGCTGAGGCAGGAGCGAAACACAGCGAAAACGAGAAACACACACACAAGCCCTCATCACGTTTGGCCCTTGCTGCAAGTTGAACTGAAAGCTGTGGAGCAGCTCTCCCCAGCCATTTTGGCATCAGGGACCAGTGTCACAGAAGGCAATTTTTCCACGGCGGATCGTGGGAGGATAGTTTTGGGAGGATTCAGAGGAGCGCACAACCTAGATCCTGCACATGTACAGCTCACAGCAGGGTTCATGCTCCATTTTTTTTTTTTTTGGTCTTTTTGAGACAGGGTCTTACTATGCAGTTCAGGCTGGCCTGTAGCCCAGGCTAGTCTTGAACTTGCAACAATCCTCCTGCCTCAGCCTCCCAAGTGCTGGGATTACTGGCGTGTGCCACCACGCCCCCCCTCATGCTCCTATGAGAATCTACCCTGCAGCTGATCTGACAGGAGGCGGAGCTCAGGCAGGGGTGAAGTGATGGGGGTGGCTGGAAACACAGAGGAAGCTTCATGGCCTGCTCACCACTTACTGCCTGCCGTGTAGCCTGGTTCCACATAGACCACTGACCACTACCAGCCCCTGGCCCAAGGTTTAGGGCCCTGCTGTAGAGGACGGCAGAGGAGGAGATGAAACATTTTCATACAAGGAATGGATGTTCTTCAAGGAGAGCAATAGTGTTATTGGTACAGCTTTTCCTGTGGACTGGTGGGGA